GAGGGGCGGGGGTGTTATTCCCGCCCCTCTGGGTTTTTAGAGGGGGGAGATTTGGGTCAAGCCAGCTGCTGCTGGCCACGGGCAGCACCCACCCACCAGGTTCCGGAGGTGGGTCCCATCCCCTGGACCCCACCACCCATCTGGTGCTCCCAGATTTCTCGTGCCGAGCCCAGCCCATCACCTGTGGGAGGTGAAGATGATGGATTTGCCGCACTCCCGCGTCCGCGTCACCGCGTCCCAGAGCAAACGCCGGGCCACGGGGTCCATGCCGGTGGAGGGCTCGTCCAGGAAGATGACGGGGGGACCACCGATGAGGGCAATGCCAGCGCTCAGCTTCCGCTTGTTACCGCCGCTGCGGAAGGAGATGGGAACGGGGACAGAGATCCGGTGTGAGCCCAGGGAGAGCCACGCAACACGAGGGGCAGAGGGGACGGGGTGTTTCCACGTCTCCTCTCACCTGTAGGTCCTCACGAGCTTGTCGGCGTGGGGCTCCAGGAGCAGCCCCCTCAGCATGTTCTCCACGCAGCTGCCGATGTAGCGCTCGGGGATGCCCCGCAGCCGGGCGTACATGCTCAGGGTCTCGCGGCCCGTCATGTGCTCCAGGAGGGCATCAAACTGCGGGCAGTAGCCGATCCGCTGCTGGACCTTGGGGCAAGAGGAAGCCAACAGGGATCAGCTCTGAAGGCAGAGTCCCAGGGAAGGAAGCAAGCAGGACCATGCTTTCGGGGCAGATCCTCCCATGTTCTCCTTGACCGACATCAGCTGGGGTTGAGGTATCCAGGGATTGACCTGAAAGCCTGACCCCTGCTCATCTCTCGCTTTTCCAAAGGGAGCGGGCAATTCCCAGCAAGGAGATGCCTAGCAGGGGTCTGGAAAGGTTTGACCCGCTTATTTTGGAGAGATCGTCATCCGACTGCGATCACTAACTCACATTTTTCATATTTCCAACTCTGGAGCTAAACCCTTTGATTTGGGTTTACCACCCTCACAAGTTTTGGCTTCCATCTGTCATCCCAGTGGAGAGGGGACCACTTCCACGTGGCCAGATGACGGCGAGGTGGGCCAGACAAGGACACAACGTCCCTGCAATATCACCTCCACCCCTGGCAACTGCAACAGTGTCCTCCTCAGAGGCACTTGGGAGGTGGCCCAGCCCAGACAGACGCAGGGCAGTTAGTAACGCTGCCCTCCACCTCCGCAGCCCTTGGTACCTTCTTGATGTTGGCCAGAATGCTGTGACCGTCCACAAAGGCGTCTCCCGACGTGATGCTCTCGTCACCAGTCAGCATCTTGAAGGTGGTGGTTTTGCCCGCTCCGTTGAAGCCAAGAAGACCAAAGCATTCCCCTTTGCTGACCGCCAAGGAGATCCTGTCCACCGCCAGCAGGGACTCCCGGCTGTCGTAGACCTGGTGGGACCAACGCACAAGCCGTGCCGGTCACCGCACCTGCCAAGTGCCCGAGGGCACATCATGGCAAGCGGTGGCTTTACCAGCACCTGGTGGTGGCAGGATGCTCAGGAAGGACCATGCTCTCCTCACCTTGGTGAGCTCCTTGATGACCAGAGGGCTGCTGAGAGACGACAGCAGCTCTGGTGGGGACTCCAAAACCTTCTTCCTCTCATCTGCCACGTCCCGATCCTCCGGCAGCACAGACACGGTGTTCAGCAGTGCCACCTACACACAGAGGAGAAAAAAAAAACACTTTTTGTCACCTGGCTGCTGTGGGACAAGTGGCTTCCTCTGGGCTGACCTGGGGCAAGTGCTCCCAACCCGGGCAGGATCCATCAGCCACCTCTGGGGTCACCTCGCTCCCTTTGCCAACCCACACGTCCAACAGGATCTGCCCCTCTGAGCGACCGGCTCCAGGGATGCTCCCCAGGAAGATGATTTAGGTGAAGATGCAAACAGCCCATGGGGTTTGGGACCTACAAGTGACACTTCGTACAGAGTCCCCAGTGGTGGGAGAAGCAGGATTTGCATCCCTAAGCATTGAAGATGAGCGACTCTGCAGACCCCAGGAACTCCAACGAGGTCTGAGCAAGCAACGTGGACGTGTCTCCAGGTCGCAGAGACTCCGGGCTTAGTTTGGCACAGTGGACCTTACTTCTCCCTCCCACATGCTTCAGCTCACCCATTTCCGCCGCCTGCAGATGCGACAGACCAAAGTTCTCAGTCTCCAGAGGAGGTTTGTCTCAATGAGGAAAAGGAGGAAGAGGAAGGAGAAACCCTGGACGGTCAAGGAGGTCAAGTATCGTCCAATCCCAGGCGTCTCCCAGGAAAAGTAGTTCATCTGGTAACTGATATCTGAGCAGGAAAGGAACAGAATCAAGACTTGGAGCAAGCCACCCTCTGGGGAGGGGCAGATAAGCTCCAGAGAAAGCTGTGAGCCCGAAGCTTTGCCAGGCTCAGCTCCATCCCAGCCCACAGCTCTTTCCAACACTTCCCACAACAGGGTTGAGGTCTGCAGGGGATCTGGCAGAAGATGCCCAGTGGAGGCACCCAGAGGAGATCAAGTCACTCTTGGGACTGGGATTTCTTTACTTGTCTACGAAACTCTCCCTAGCCCACATTTTCCTCCAAATCATTAATAAGGAAAAGATTCCTTAATTGCATCACCTATGAGTGTCAAACGCTGCCCAGTTCTTGCTTTAAAATGGTACCTGGAGCTACTGCCCAGGTTGGGTTAGAGGCCCCATGATACTGCCCAGCTCCACCACTAACCCCACAGAGACCCCTCCCAACCCAGGGACTCACTGAACGCCTTGCAGATGAAGATGGCTTCAACGGAGGAGGTGCAAAACTGAATGAACTCGTAGTTCTGGTAGAAGTCACTGATGCATTGGCCCAAGCAGTAATTGGGTAAGAAAATAAAGACTTTATCCAGGGTTTTGGAGAGGTCCACCAAGCCCAGCTCTGAAAGAGGAGCACAGGAGGATCAATAGGTCGGGGTTAGGTGGTTTGAGAGAAAGACCCTGATACTGCCAAGTTCGGAAGGAAAACCAACAAATTTTGTCACGTTTAATGGGTGAGAATGGGCTGTTGTAGGGCTTTTTTTGCTAGTCTGGGGACAGCCCTGGGGTGAGAGGGTCCCCTTGGGGGCTGGATCTTCTTGGTGACGGCAGGGTGCAGTGCTGGGCAGGCAGGGAGGGCAGTGACCCACCTGGGATGCTCATGATGGTGACTGCGAGGAAGGTGGCTGTGCCTGAGAGGACGTTGAAGATGGTGAGACGTGTGTAGGCTGTGGCCGCCACTGAGAAGAAGAAACTGAGGAGGTACATGAGGGGGATGATGGCCCAGCCATAAAGGAGGAAGATCAGCATCACGTCAACGAGGTGGCTGTCTTGGGTGAAGGCTCGCACGTCGAAGGCTTGGAATATCACCTGGGGCACAGCAAGGTGAGGAGAAGGCACATTGGTCTTGACCACAAGCGATGTCACCTTGTCTCAATGGCCCAGGCAGCACGGTAACGGCAGCACCACGCTGGCCCCTCACATGGGGTCCCCCCCAGCCTGTCCCCAGGGGAAGCCCTCTTTCTGCAGACTGGGATGCAGAAGGGCAGAGCTGGGGAATTCCTCTCCACGTTCCCACAAATCTGAGATTTTCTAGTGCCCACAGCCCAAGCCTCAGCTGGTTGGCCATGGCCCAACTCCTAGGAGGACCAAGGGACAGCTTTCTTGCTGGTCCTTCCTAGTAACTGAGACAGTGCCAGGACCAGGTGGCCTCATCCTTTTCCCTCCACCCACTCACATCCCAGATCTCCCAGAGAAGCAGCACCCCGAGCTCCCACCCAAGGGGAGGCCAGGAAGGTGTCGGAGCATCAGGGGTGACTCACCAGCATCAGAGCACAAGGGATGAGGAAGTTGATGACGTCCCAGAGCAGGGCAGAAAGCCAGAAGTTGACCACGTAGACGCCGCTGACGAACTGGACGTGCTTGGCTTTGATGGCCCGCTCGCTGACCAGCAGCAGGGCGAAGGTGCTGGCGAGCGAGGCCATGCCGTACAGCAAGTTGATGGCAATGGCGAAGCCGGTCTGGCCTCTGCGGGGAGAGCAGTGGGGCAGGTGAGGACAGACTGACGCACACGCCCCCAGCACGTAGAAGAAACCCCCCCTGCCTCCCACGCACAGTCCTCCTGCCACCCCTCAAACCTCCACCCTGCCTTTGCGAGGTCTCACACCCGTTCCCTCTGGTATGGGTGAGGCTCGGAGACCTTGGATGCAGGATTTTGTGAAGTCTATGGTCATACAGCCCCTTCTGCTCCCAGGTGGAGAAACAGGCTCCGGGGAAAACCACCCCCTAACCACAGCCATTACTGAGAGGGGAACACCCAACCACTGAGACGGGGTGACACATGTGCAACCACAGCTACGGTTGGCTCTGGGCAGCTCCAGCCTGGCTCCTCTACTGACACCAGCGCCACCAAGCCAGTCTGTACTCATGGAAGTCATAAGCCCTAGCAGGAAAGCAAGTGCCATGCCGTCAGACTTACTCCATGAGCTGGTCTTTGGCCTTCTCGGTGATGTTGCGGGGCTGAGGGTAGTTGGTGACTGTGATGGAGGCGTTGGGACCTGCCAGCACCCTGAAGACAGCGTTGTCGGCCAGCATAAGGGCCGTGGCGGGGGAGTGATACGCCTGGTTGTTGAAGAGCCCGGTGACTACCGTGCGGTTCCCGACACCTTCGAAGGAGGCGGCTGCGATGTAGTGCTCATTGAAGGCTCCTCCTTCATCAGAAGCTCTTGAGATGAGGTACTCCTCCAGGCCACCTGCCAAACACCACCACAGCTGTTACCAGCATGCTGCAGCACATGAGAGCTAAGTGGGGCCAACTGGGGAAGAACCCAAGCAGCCCCAGCCCTGGTGGTCCACCCCTAGCCCCGATGATGGCCACGAATGCAGAGTGATGGAGAACACAGCTCTACTTGGGTGAGGAGGGGTCCTGCCAGCTGCAGGACTCTCCCGTCCAGGAGAGGATACAAGGGGATACATCGGATACACCCAGCTGGGACCTGAGCTACCCACAGCGAGGGTCCTGCCAGGAGAAGCCCATGGCTCCTGCACACCCCACCGGGCATCTCCCGCTCCGCGGGTGCTCTGGGAACTCTCACCCAGCACCTCCAGTGGTGACTGACGCTGGGCATCCAGCAGCTCCACGTACTGCTCCGCCAACCTCTGCGACAGACCCGACGTGGCCGAGACGGAGAAAGGCACGATGGTCTGGCCGTAGGGCTCCAGCGTCAGCCTCAGCAGGGACGAGTCCCTGGGTCCTGGGAAGGTCTTGGCCACGACGAGGGCAAAGGCAGTGAAGATCAGAGGCACGAGGAACTGCGCTGCCACCATCTTCCAGTTGCGCCAGCTGTACATGGCTCGCTTCATGAACATGGCGTAGAACTGCTGGCAGCACAGGTAGAACTGGGAGGGGAGACATCAGGTCAAGGCCAGCAGTGCCAGCTGTGGACAGACCTACCGGCCATGTGTCCCCACAGAGATGATGAGAGGAATGACCCCAGAACCACCTCCCCGTCCTGCATGTAGCCCAGGAGCCTGCAGCCCAGCTGCCCAGGGACTGGCAGGGCACCCGCTTGACTCCAGGACTGCAGATCAGCCCATCCACCTCAACGGCTTCCCGACAGGACACAAGTCATTTTGGGATCTAAGGTGTTAAATCATAGAATGATAGAATGGTTTGGGTTGGAAGGGACCTTCAAGACCATCCAGTTCCAACCCCCCTGCCATGGGCAGGGACACCCTCCACTACACCAGGTTGCTCAAAGCCTCATCCAACCTGGCCTTGGACACTTCCAGGGATGGGGCAGCCACAGCTTCTCTGGGCAACCTGGTCCAGTGCCTCACCACCCTCAGAGGGAAGAATTTCTTCCTTAGATCCCATCAAAATCTCCCCTCTTTCAGTTTAAAGCGATCACTCCATGTCCTGTCACTACACGCCATTGTCAAAAGCCCCTCTCCAGGCAACCTTTGCCAGCTTCAGCCATGACCTTCACCTTCCTCCACCTCTCGGCATCTGAGGTTCACAAAGAGGATTACTGGGACACGGCTGCCTGCCAAAGCGACCGGCCTGAGATGTCTGGGAGCTCCCAGCCCGGCCCTGCGAGCATCTTCTTTGCTTTTGAAACCCATAAACATCTTTCTCCCCTTCTGCCGTTGAGACATGCCCTTGAGAAGCGCACGGAAATGTATCACAGGCACACAGGCGGCGGGCCACGAAGGGCTGCCAGGGATCCGAAACACAAGCCCAGTGAGGGAAGGAAGATGGTTTTTCTCATCTCCCCGCTGGAAATCCCAAGTGATGCAGCAACAGCAGGTGAAAACCACTTTAGATCACCTGGAACACCTTCAAGAGCATCTCTGTAGACCTCAAGATTAACGTGAGGAGGATGGCAGTGACCAACCCAACGACTCTAAAAATAATTTGCCCTAAAGATGCAGATCTCACTTTTCCTTTAGTAACTTCCAAATCACACGCAGCAAGACCAGCCATGGGGGAAGCTCCACCAGGTAACCC